CAATAGCGTGCTGCCCTGAGGAAGCAGTAGGCCTGGGGAGAAGGGGTGGGAAGCACTGAAGGGAACCCCTGGGAGGGAGTTTAGCCTGCATCTGTTAGTGATGAAGGTGCCGGAGGATCATGGGAGGCTTTAGGCAAGAGAGTAACCTGATCAGATTTGTGTTTTAGAAGGACCTCGTCGTAGACAATGTCACCCACGGACCGGAGGTGACACTGGTAGGAGAAGAGATGCATCAGAGAACTACTGTGGGAATCCAGGGGGAGGATAGAAGGGCCTACAAAAGCAGGGAGGTGGGTGTGTAGAGAGGACGGCTGAGTCTGAGAGAGCGTTGTTGATTGTGGTGACTGTGGAGGGGGGCGGCTTTCTGCTTTGGTGGGTTGGCTGGGAAGACATGGCTCACAGCACATCATGGAGACCAGTGGAGGTGAAGTGGGTTTGGGTGCGTTTGTGGGTGTAAGGCGAAGGGAACGGTGAGGTGGGCAGGGCAAGGTGGTACTTTCACTAACAATATGGTGACCTAGAGATTCCATCGAAGTATTTATAGACAGTTGGACGGATGGGTCTGTAGCTTAGAAGAGGGTTTCTGCAGGTGAAGCATATAATTTCTACTCCTTTTCTTTTCTTTTTTTTTTTTAAAGATTTTATTTATTTATTCATGAGAGACACAAAGAGAGAGGCAGAGACACAGGCAGAGGGAGAAGCAGGCTCCCTGCGGGAAGCCCAATGCAGGACACGATCCCAAGACTCTTGGGATCACAACCTGAGCTGAGGGCAGATGCTCAATCGTTGAGCCACCCAGGGGCCCCTCTTCTCCTTTTCAAATCCATTTAAACATGGTTCCCAGACTAATGCACTGCTCGTATCAACATATTGAGAAAATACCCAGCTTTGGGTGAACTATTAGCATCTCACCCACATATGTGGAGCCATCTAGAATAGAATCTAAACTGAAGCAGAATTGAGAGCAGATAAAAGAAATATCTCAAAAGTAGACCCTAGAAGATTTTGTGATGGATTATTTTGGGGGTTAGGGGTCAGAAGATGGTAAGATGAAGAAAGGAAGTGATAATGCTTCCCAAGCTAACTTCTCTATTGATACTTCTGTCTAGAATTTTCTGTTGCTCCAGCTTGGGGCAGAGAGTAGCTACTTCTACTTCTACTGCAGAAACAGCATCCCCTGGGCATGTGGCACTTCTTCCATTTCTCTTCTTTTCTTTCTGGGGCCCTCCATACTGCAGACTAAAGCTCAGCACACACAGTACTATTATGGAACTCATCCGTATTTTCTCATGGGCCTCCCTTGCCAAGGTATGTGAACTGGCTCCATATCACTTCTCGGATCGAGGCTGTGTTTCTCACTCGGCCTCCCGAAGCCACTTCTTCTCAGGGACCTCTAGCTTGATTTTCTATTGGATGACATGCTGCCCCACCATTTACCATCCATCTTTGTCTCATGCTTAGTGATGATAAGACTCAGATTCCAGGAAGTGCTGACCAGCAGAAATTTCTGTGATGATGGAAATGTTCTCTATCTGCACTGTCCAGTACTGTGGCCATGAGCCACAAAGGGCTCCTGAGGACTTCAGATGCCGTGGGTGTGACTGAAGGACTACATTTGATATATTTTAATGCATCGACGTGGACATAGCCCCTCACAGCAAGGGCTACTGCTTTGGACAGCACAAGTGCTAGGGCTTCTTCTTCCTCTCTCTACGAAAGTAAGGGGGGGTTCTGACTGTACTGAGGCCCTCACTTCCCACTTCCCCAGAGTGTTCTATAAATGCTTAGCAACTGCCTTCTGACTTCCTGCCTTGCCTGGTCTGCCTGCAGCCCCCTCTCCAGCCCACAGCCTGGCTCAGATCTCCTTCCCACAGGGCTGGGAGCATGCACTCAAGTGTACAGTGACTGGCTCACAAGTGAAGCTTATCACAGTTATTATTTTCATTATGAGAAACAGCTCCATTAATAGTAACAGATCTCTTTGTTTACTTTATGTGGGAACAAGCCACACCCACAAAGAAGAGAGACTGTTCAAAGGAACTAATAAGGAAACTTAGCCAAAAACAAGTCACACTCAAAGCCCACCAGGCTTCCTTCCCTGCTTATTTGAATCGTCTCATGATAGGCCTGACTGATGAGCAGAGCTGAAGGCCAAGGTGGGAGATGCTTCTGATGTGGGACAGAAAGCTCCCCTGCTTAGTCACTGGCTCACTGGAGGCCCAGCTGTCACCTCCCCAGTGTTTGGGGCGGATTCTAGCAGCATGGAGGCTTGTACTGAGCTATCCATACACCAACTTGGCCCAGTGTGTATAGTCAGACCACCCACAGCGAGGATGAGAACAAATACTCAAGAAGCACTGGGCGGATGTATGCGTGAAAGGTATCACTTCTGGAATACAAAAGGTGGTTACTCGAGGCCTTGACCGTACGCAGGCAGAGCAAGTGGTTGCCTACCGGTCACAAGGGCATCCAAGTGCCTCATGGCCAGGCCTGAGAACATAAGATCTTCATCCCCCCTCTTGCCTTTGTCAGGCCATTCCACAATGCACAGATGTTTCTAGAGGAGATTTTGTTTTTGTCATCGGTTTCGTCACAGTAGAGCATAAAAATTTCACAGAGTTAACCACAGAATAACATCCCGGCAACCGAGTTCCATGCTGAGTTAATTCTCTTCAGTCTACAGTGTCCTTTTGGCTCCTGTTTTCCCCATCCGGCTTCTTCAGTGCTCTTGGAGACCTTTAGTTTCTCCCATCGTGGTTCTCACAATTTCTTTGGGTGTCTGTGGGGCTCGGGAGGCCTGAGTCTTCATAACCGTCGTGCAGCATCTGCTTGTTTCTCTCCTTTTCTGGGCTGGAGTCATTTGGTGGCATCACCCCAGAAGCCAAGTGAAGGTTCCTCATTACGGCCCTGTTCAGAGGGTGGCCTTCCCTCCCAGGTCTGAGACCACGTTAGGTGAATGGTCACGCTGGCCTTGGCTATGCTGAAGCTATTGAGAGGAAAGAGAGCCCTTATGAACTTGTCAGAATGCCCCAGTCCTCCAATTTCTCCAAAGATTGTGGGTGCAAACCACTCTTTTTCTTCTCTGTCTACTATCTGCCCTCTTTCTAGGACAGTTAGGAGCTTTCACAAGTTATGGTCTCTGACCTAGAGAGACACAGAGCTGTACACAGTTCTTCAAATTCCTTCCTCCTGTTGTATTCCTGCCAAGACCCTCCTATCATCCCTGCAGATCATGTACACAGCCTCAGAGTACGTGACTAGCCTCAGAGTGGCTGTTCTTTGAGCTATAGGTGGAAAATCATGAAGACAGTAGTTAGCTGAGGAGCAAGATCTAAGATAAAATTCTTAACCAGGGTGCCAGGACACATGATATAGAGCATACCCTCTGCAGGCACGCTGCTATGTTGTCATCGAAATGTCAAATTCCTTTTTACTATAACCGAGTTCATGCACTGTTATGATGACATCTACCCGACAGGAGGTTGAACTAGGTATTCCCGTCCCCCGGTGGACAACACAGTATGACCTCTCCAGTCCCTGATGGGAGCTGAGGGGTGACTACAGGCTACAAGATTCATGACAGGAACATAAGCTCCTTGTGAGCATCGAAGGGAGCAGAGTCCTCTTCAGACAGCAAGATAGGACTTACGGGTAAAACACACAGATAGGGTGATAACTCTGAATGCAACTAGCCTGTGACACCATGTAAAGTTCTGGTATTTGAAAGTATACCAGAAGCATAAATAAAGGTTGAGGACCATAGGCCTAGAAGAAGATAGAAAGAAAGGAATCAGAAGCGATGGGAAAAGGTGTCGCTTCAATGCATTAAAGATAAGAACAAAGGAAGAGAAGGAGCTTGACGATGGAGCGACATTTTGAAATGTAGAGGGAAATAGGAGGCGCTCCGAGATGGTCTCCAACCCTGTAGTGGGAAGCGACATCACCTGTTGATAAAATGAGCGAGTCACCTTCGCCTACCTTGGACCTGTTGTATGTGCCCACGTTTCATACGTTTATATACACCAGCTTGTTTCATCTCCGCAATAATTCCACCGAGGAGGGAGTGTTATCACCCTGGTTTAACAAGCGGTGAAACTGGTGCTCAGAGAAGCTGTGTAATGAATGTACTCAAGGGCCTGAGAACCAGGAAGGGAAGGACTGGTCTCCGAGCAGTCGGAGAAACCGGTCAAAGTGAAGTTGGCTGCATTCGGCTGTGTCATGAATGTTCTGGGAACCCACAAAAGCTGAAGACAGGGCCTGTACGCCGGAGACTTCTCCCAGCAGGGAGAAGAGGGCAGGCACTCGGTGGTGGTGGTGGTGGTGGAGGGGCAACAGCGCAGGAGCGGGGTGCTGAGCTCCCACGTGGTGGAACTGTGTAGAAGGGCACCGCAGAACTGGCAGGTGGGCGCAGAGGGCCGTCCAGTGGGGCCCAGGCCTGCCCACCGGCTGCTGTGGGTGGAGGAAGGGAGACAGTTGTCCCAGCTGGGAGCTCCCCCAAGGTGAGGGGACCTGTGGACCTGGCCAGGGACAGCAGGGCTCTCTAGTGCTCAACAGAAGCCAACTGAGAGGTGCAGTGCATGGAGGGTCTGGGTTCAAATTCCCCTCCTGTGTTTTGGGGGCAGGGTCATCTTCTGTTGGGGTCTTTGCATGGTCAGTGCAGGGAAGGGCCCAGGGTGACCCCGACCCCAGCCCCAGGGGAAGGGGGGGCTGCGGGGAGGCCCCGGGAGGGGGGAGCAGGGGGCAGCGTTCTGCACGGCCGGACCCCCAGGACCCCCGGGACCCCTGCAGCTGCCCGCACCCCGGCCCTGCGTCTCTCTCTCTCGGATACTGACGCCCCCGCAGGAAAAAGGAAGCGCCTTTTGTCAGATGCTGCGGCCACTTCCTCCCCGGGAGGCTCCGCCGCCGGGTGCAGGATGCCGGGCGCCCCGGGCTGTCGCCGGCCGCTCCGTCCCCCCGCCACCCGGGCCCCTGAGCCGCCTCAGCCCGCGTGTCCCCCGCAGCGCGCTCCAGGAGTGTGATGACCGGCGAGCAGATGGCCACCCTGCACCTGCCGGCCCCCAGCCCGCTGCAGAGGCCCGTCAAGATGGGCTGGCTGAAGAAGCAGCGCTCCATCGTGAAGAACTGGCAGCAGAGGTACTTCGTGCTGAGGGCGCAGCAGCTCTGCTACTACAAGGACGAGGAGGACGGGAAGCCGCAGGTAGGCCGGGCGGGGGCTCCTGGGGGGTGCACCTGCGGGCATCCCCCCTCTTCCACCAGGGTTTAGACCTGCCAGCTGACCACAGACAGAACGGGGCATCCTCCAAGGTGGGGGGTGAGCCCTGAGGGGCTCCCTGACGCCGAGGTCGGGGACCTGGCCTTGATGGTGACATGGTCTAGACCTGACATGGCCTAGACGGTGACGCAGAGTGCCAGGGCTCAGAGACAGAGGACTTGCCTTCGGGCAAATGGATCTGCTTGTGGGCCCGGTGTTTACTGGGTGTCTCTTAGGTACCAGGCGTGGTTTGGGTACTTGAAATCGGCCAGCGAGGCAAACGGATAAAAGGCCCTGCGTGGGGAGCTCAGAAGATAAGGAGACAGGAGGACAAATATGGAGACTATGTGGTTTGTTAAGGACAGACAAAACAAAACAAAACAATAAAATGACCAGTTCCATGAGATTAAAAAAAAAAAAAAGAAGAATGGGTCAAGGGGAGATCAAGGAGGTGATAGCATCTCACCGAGGGTGGTCGCATGACTTTGGAGGAGAGGTGGCCACCGGGCGGCAATCCGGGGAAGGAGCACCCCAGGCAGACGGGAGGGCCAGGGCCCAGCTCGACGGTGGTGCGCGTCTGCTGGGCACTCGCAGTGCCAGGGAGACAGAGCCAGGGACAGAGCCAGGGACGGAGAGGGGCAGAGGGGACGGGCTCCGAGAGAGGACGGCTGGCCCGAGTGTCACAGTGCAGAGAGCAAAGACGAAGACCGCTGCGAGGACTCGAGGGGTCGTGCTGAGGGCCTTGTGGAGGCATTGCAAGGCTCCGAGCAGAAAGGGGACGTCGCTCGGCTAATGCTGTAAAAAGCTGGGCAAAAGGAGACTCAGGGCCAGAGGAGAGAGGCACGAGGGTCATCTAGGGGAGAGGTTATGTTGCTTAGAATGGCCACGAGGGCTGCGGGCTGGAGGAAAGTCGTCAGGTTCCTGGTATGCTCTGAAAGCACAGACAACAGGATTTCCAGAGGGAATGCATGAGGCCAGAGAGCACTTTGGCCCTAAATCCTGGGAAGAGTGAGTCCTCATGGCCATCACGGCGCCTGAAAGTGAAGGGGGGTGCTATTAACAGTTACCCTGTCCTGGAGCAACCAGGACGACGGGCCACCCCATCTAGAGCTCCTATCGGTGGAGGTGCAAGAGTGAGCTTGGCCAGAGGGAACTTATTAGGGAAGACAGAGTCTAGAACCTCCTGGATCCAGAGAAAAGGCCCCGAGAAGGGTGAGGATACTGAGGGTGGGTGGCAGGGTATGTAAAGAAAGAGTACAGTCATTTTGGAAGAGGACAGTTATCTGTGAGCATCAGCTTGGGGCTCCGTGACACATGACCAGCACCTGGTTAACCAGCCCGCACCTCCCCAGCTTGAGGGCTGTGAGTGTCTGTCACTGCAAAGGCTGGAGAAGGACCAGCGACCCTACCACAGACGGGGTTCTTGCTCAGTGACCTGTACATGGTAGCCCGACTTCCTTTTGCTTTATGAACAACCCAGACCCTATCAGAGCCCAGCAGCTATAGGCTAAGGTGGTGGTGGCTGGTGCACGAGTAGCCAACGCAGCACATCTTCCCGTCTGCAGGGTGAGGGAGGTGGCACTACCGCATTAGCCTTCCCCGGTCAGCCCGAAGGACAGCTCAGTGGGGCTGGCTTCCGCGAGGTGTAGACGATGAGAGGTATGATATGTCCAAGCTTGTGTTCTTTTCTTGGCTCTTCTCCTGTCTGGCCAGATAATTATTTAATTTTTCTAGATCCCTCTTTCTTCTTCCGTGAAACGAGACCATCATACCTGGCCTGCGCTTATCACAGGCCCGAATGATATGAAGCATGCGTAAAAAAATGTTTTGTGAAAGCATTAAACTAATGTGAGAGGTTAAAGAAATTATTGGAGGTCTTAGCTTCTGTCCCTGAATTTGAAGGGGGAAACTCAAAATCTTCCCAGGGTTAAACTAGCCTGGGACCTGGGATAATAAAGCAAAGCTTATTCTAGGTTTTTTTTTTTTGTTTTTTTTTTAAATTAAATTAAATTTAGTTTAATTTAATTTTTATTTTATTTTTAAAAGATTTTATTTATTTATTCATGAGAAAAAGAGAGAGAGAGAGAGAGAGAGAGAGGCAAAGACACAGGCAGATGGAGAAGCAGGCTCCATGCAGGGAGCCCGATGTGGGACTCGATCCCGGGACCCCAGGGTCACACCCTGAGCTGAAAGAAGCGCTAAACCGCTGAGCCACCCGGGCTGCCCTGTGTTGTTGTTGTTGTTGTTGTTGTTGTTGTTGTTGTTGTTTTTAAGGGAATCTATGAATAGAATATCAATAGGTTGAGATCAATAAGTCAGATAAGGAAAAATTGTGGCTGAAAAAGCACTTGATAAAATCCAATACTCATTTTAGGTATAAAAAGTTTTTAAAAAAGTTTTTAGAGATAAAATGATAATGTATTAGAAAGATGATTTTACTGCCTTTAGCTATGGATACTTTGATTACAAAAGCTATATGTGTGCATGGTAGGAAATTTGGAAGATGAGGATGAGCACAAAGCAGAAAATGAAAATGATCCCATTAGTAAGAAATGGTCACCTAAATTCTCGCTTTTTCCAGTCCTTTCTATACATATACATTTAGAAACCAGTCTATTCTAAATGCAAATTAGTATAATAATATTCTTTAATTAAAAAGTTAACAATAAGCCATGAATTATTATTATTATTATAATTAAATATTCTTTTACAATGTAATTCTTAATGGTTGCAGAATAATCCACTGTATGGACACTCTATAATTTATTTAACTAATTAGTTGAAAATTTGGGTTGATATTTTTATATTATGAATAAGAATTAAGTGGACATTCTCATAGACTTCTTTTTTTTTCTCATAGACTTCTATATCAACAATTCTTTCATTAAGATGAAAAAAATCTGTTAAAAACAAAGCACTTTTTTATGCTATCATTTAATATTGTTTTGGGATTCAGAGAGAAAGATCTAGAAATGAGATGAAAGTTGAGCTAAATTCTTGGGAAAAAAAATAAAGGCATGTTTCTAGGCTCTGTTTCACACCATTCATGATTCTGGATGGACTGAAAACTTCAATGTTAAAAAAAAAATGAGTTCATAAAAGACCTAGAAGAAAATGCAGTTATTTGCATAATCTTTGGAAGGCAGGTGTTTTTCAAGCATAGGATAAGCAACAAAAATAGCACAAGGGAAAGGCTAATTTAATTGCATGAATAAAAATAACTGTATCTTAAAAACCAACATCACAAAGTGAAAAGGCAAATAATAAGGAAGAAAATATTATATATGTATGCATGTGGTAAACAAATATACTTAATATTTAACGTAGTCAAACCTATTTTTAAAAAATGTCCAAATAGCTCAATAGAAAAGTGAGCAAATGACACAAGTGGACAATCTACCAAGAAATGTAATAACCAACACATGTATATAAAAAAATTTAGGGACACCTGCGGGGTTCAGTGGTTGAGCATCTGCTTTTCAGCTCAGGGTGTGACCCCGCGGTCCTGGGATCGAGTCCCACATCAGGCTTCCTGCATGGAGCCTGCTTCTCCCTCTGCTGTGTCTCTGCCTCTCTCTCTGGGTCTCTCATGAATAAATAAATAAAATCTTAAAAAAAAAAAAAAGAACATGCCCATATATTCTATCTCTTAAAAAAAAAAACAACAATCTCAAACAGAAACCCCAGTAATCTTGGAGCAATCAGGTGAAAAAGGCCCTCGTGTACGCTGATGATATGCATATGAGCTGGTGCAAACTTTCTAGAAAGCCATTGGCCAGATTTCCAAGAGCCAAAAAAAAAAAAAAAATATATATATATATATATATATCATAGGCTTACATCGAGTCATTTTGGTTTTAGGAAATGATCCAAAAGAAAGAAGATAGGTGCGGTGCTGTCAGTAATGGAGAACTGTGAGCCTAATGTCCGACAGAGGAGAAGGGTGCAGTCGATTAAGGGGCCCCTCTGGGGGACGCCTGTGCCTGCCTCCCGGGGCGCCCGCATGTCCCCCAGGTCTCCGCGAGGGGCCCGGCTCTGGCGGCCTGGGGCTCAGTGGGCCTGATGTAGCTCCTTCCAGAAGGTTCTTCATCAGGGCAATCGTTCCAAACAGAAGCTCGGCCAACGTGCTGGCGTCCCCGCAGCAGCGAGGCTCTGGCCAGTCCCAGTGTCATCGGGCCCTGTGGCGTGTCCCTGCCTCCGGGGGCCTGGCCGCGGTGGCCGGGTGGCCGGGTGGCCGCGGTCTGTGGCGGGGGCAGGCCGTGGCTGTGAGCGGCCGTGAGTCCCTACGGTTGGGGCCGCCGCTGAGCGCAGAGCGGGCAAGAGAGGCGCCCAGCACAAGGTCTTGGAGCATTTTTTGTACCACCCAGAGCAGATGTACACCACCACGTACACGAACAGGAATAATAGTAAAATACACTCGCTAACTGGGGGCCACGAGTATCCTCCCCTTTATTTTTTATACAAAACGGTTTCCTCATAAGCGTAGACGACTTAGCGCGTGATGACGACCGTGCTCGACGACTGGCTCACCGTGTCCCTTGAAACTGTGACGGTTCAGCCTGGCGAGCGGCCGCGGGTGGGCCCCAGTCCCTGCGAGGCCGTGGGCCCGACCTGGCCGCAGGGGGCTGGAGGCCCGCAGCCTGCGCGTCCCCCCGTTGCACCCTTGCTCACAGTGCACCCAGTCACCTGCCCGGTGGGACACGGGGACATCCTCCCCGGCCCTGTGCAGGACCCCCCACTGCTGGCCGCCCTCACGATGCTCAAGGCCCTTGAAGGGCGTACGGTCGGCCGCTTGGCGAGTCACCTGAGGGTGCCGTCCTCTCCTGGGGTACGTCCAAGTCCCACTGACTGGGGCTGGGATCGCAGCCTTCCTCCACCGGGCGCCGTGGCCTTGGGCCAGCCACCTAACCTCCCTGGCCCCTGCCTGCGCCCTCGCCCAGGCTCGACGTGCCAGCGTGCTCAGGGCGCGGAGCCAGGGCCCGGCTCCTCGAGACTGCTCGGTTCACGGTACTTAGGAGCTCGGTATTTTATTTTTACTGTTTTTGGATGAAAGTGGTTTAGGCCTATCAAACAACAGGTCAATTGGGAAGAGGCAGGTGCCTCTGAAATTATTCTTTTCTTTTGCCCGGCACTGCTCCTCCTTGTCTAAAAATAACATGGCTTTTTATTTCAGGGCCGTAAGTCATGCAAAGTAGCCCAGCTGCACAGTCTCGAGGGCATTTCCGCTCCCCCCCCCCGCCCCGTCCCCCGAGGACACTGATATTACTTGGACATGATGAGGACCATGCAGGTGGAGGTTATTCTCAAGCAATAAAATTGGAGAAATGTAGAAAAGTGCAGATATTTTATAAACAGATATTTTCCCCTTTGTCCCTCCCCCTTCCTTTCCACTTCCCCTCTGTCCCCCCTTCCTCTGCCTTTTCCTCTTTTGCTTCCACTCTTTTTTCTCACTCAGTCTTAGACATTTTTCTCTCTAGACTCTCAAGAAGCATGTATTCCCTTCAGGCTCCTGAGCTGACCTGAGAGTTCATTAAGGCTCTGGCCCTTATGCTCTCAAAAGTTCAGAAATAACAGAAGTAAAACCAGTGAATCCCGGAGGTAGTAGCCGGCAAAAACAAACAAAAAAAAATTTGTGCATGCAGCAGAAAGGGTGCAAACCGGAAGCCCTCACACTGCGACGGGGAATGAGGCTCAGGGATAGCTTGTTACGAAGCAGCCTTTTAAGCGAGAGAGAGAGAGCACTGGCTGTTCATTCTTTAAGGTGAATAGTTAGTTATCATGTTAGCATTTCCTTAGGGTCGCCCGGGTGACTTCGGTAAACGCCCAACCCTTGAGGTCAGTTCAGGTCAGGACCGCGGGGCCGTAAGATCGAGCCCCACGCAGGGCAGGGTCCGCTGGAGATGCCCTCTCTCCCTCTCCCTCTGCCTCTCCCCCCGCCCCCCACCCCGGCCCCGGCTCCAGCATTTCCTTAAATGATAGGAAACTGGTCAGTGATTGCAGTTCAAGTTCTGCCCATGACTTCCAGAGGCATAAGCAAGAAATGATCCGGGTCACCTCAGCCTTGCAAAGTAAGCAATGCCCTGCTGGGTCTGGCTGCACTGGTTTTGTTTGCTCAGGGAGTTTCCAAGGCCGCCCTCTGTTTTCGACGTTAGTGGAGGTTCTGGTGCCCGTGCTCCTCGCGGCCACTCTGCCCCGGGACCCCTGCCCTCACGCAGCTGGAACCTGCCGCTGTCTACCCTGGCCATTGATAGAGACTGAGGGGGCACAAAGGAGCCACGTCCCGTGGTGCAGTCGCCGCAGGACTGGCCTTCTCATCTGTGACTAGAGGACGCAGTGGCCGTGGGGACCTAGGGGGATGTGGTGGGCACCTGGGGAGATGCCAGGTGGGAGCCTGGGGAGATGACGGGCGGGGGCCTGAGGAGATGCCGGGCTGGGACCAGGGGAGATGCCAGGCAGGGGCCTGGGGAGATGCCAGGTGGGCAGCTGGAGAGATGCCGGGCGGAGACCTGGGGAGATGCTGGGCAGGCACCTGGGGAGATGCCACCTGCCGCAGGGTGCCCTGCATGGTGAGGCCGCCAGCTGAGCCCTGCGGGAGGCCCTGTTCCTCCATCCTGCGTTCACCCTCACTGGCCTTGAGCATCCGTGATCCTCGTCCCCATTCCCAGGGGACACTAAGCTGCTGGGTCCCTGCCCCGTCAGCTTTAACTCCCGCCGGGGTCGGTTCCCATCCGTCCCTCCCCAGCCCCATGACATCGGGGGACGTAGGCCCCCTGGTCCCCCCACTGCTAGGTGCACGGGGCCACACATGCTGGAAGGAGCACTGCGGGACCAGATGGGCGCGTATCCTGCGTGCTGGGCCCAGGGCCAGACCCTGGGATGTGCTCTTGCAGCTCGGGCTGCTGCCAAGTCGTCGGCCTCTGGATCGGTGCCGCCCGTGGTTCAGTCCCCGGGGCCCAGGCAGCCGGCACTGGAGGGCCCGCCTGACCAGCTGGTGGGAGCCCGGGGCATGCCCGGCTCCACGCTGCTTATGAGGATGGGATGGCAGCGGCCAGGAGACCGGTCATCGGACAGACACCAGCACCGGCCCGTCCCCTTGGCCCTCCGTCAGGGCCTTGTTTTCGCTCCAGGCGCCTGGCGTGTCCTTGGGTGGCTCCCGCGTCCCAGCCCATCCTTCTCCCGTCTGTCCCTCAACGTAACTTTAGGTGACAGGAGTGCTGCTGGTCTCATGGGGCTGAACTTTGACCTTTCAGGGCTGCCTGTACCTACCAGGAGGCACGATCAAGGAGATCGCCACCAACCCAGAGGAGGCAGGGAAGTTTGTCTTCGAAGTCATCCCAGGTAGGCAGCACGTGTGGGGACGGAGGCCCTGTGGGATCCCGAGCTGGGAGACTCAGGGGCGCGGAGCCAGGGATGCCGCGGACTCGGCCTGGGCTCCCAAAGGCGTCCCGGCCCGCCCGCCGCAGGCAGCGCAGTTTTGAGGCTGAGCGGTGCGTGGAGACGAATGCGGTGACATGTCGCCATCTCCGGGGTCGGAGGTGGCCTGTGACCAGCGCGGCTGAGTCATTGCGGTTGAATGACAGCGGTCAGGCACTGGGACGCCTCTGCCACGGGGCTAGGGCCGCCCGCACGCGGGTGCTGCTGCCCAGGTGAACGCCCCCTTCTCAAGTGCTCCTGGGGCCAGGGGACTGTCCTGCTCCGTCTCGAGGGACGTTTGTGTTTGCGGGCGTCCTGCTCCAGGTCTCTGGCTCATCTCCTGGCCCCGGCCTGCTCAGGACCTTGGGGGCTGCTGGGTGGGGGGTGCAGCCGGGGGGCCCCGGGCCCCCTCCCTAACACTCCCACAAGGTGGCCGCACCTGACAGGTGACCCCGCTGCAGAGTTCGCCCGCCCTGCTCCGACCCGGGCCCTGCCACCTTGTATTTGCGTAACTGTGAGCACGTGATTTCGTTTCTTCCTGCCACTGTTTCTTCATCTGTGAAATGGGCACAACGAGGATGACAGTGAGGATTAAAGGAAGAAACATATTGGGGCCACCTGGTGTAGTGACTGACATGTCGCTAGTGCCATGTAGCAAGCGCTTGACATTTGGGGATCACTAGAGGAAAGTATAATGTAGAAATCAATCCTAAAACTGGCTACTACTATAGAAAACAAAGAAAAACAATTTAAAAAAATTTTTTTAAAGTTCGGCTCTTCCCAGGTGGCCTCCTTCATGATGGGCACTCCTTTGTTTTTTTTTTTTTTTTTTTTTGGTTTGTGTGTTTGTTTGTTTTTCATCTAAGGGTCTGTCCATCTCTCTCCCCACCCCCAAAGAAAGAGTTTATTTTTTTAGTGTCTCCTCTCTGAGAAAGCCCCACTTCTTTCCCCCAAGATTCTTCCAGTCCTAGGACCCCTCTCCCGGTTCATGGGATGCAAGCGTCCATGGTAACACGCGTCCCAGAGCCTGAGCTTTCCATCGAGGCTGACCCTACTGGGCGCTCTGGCTGCTGACTCCCCGTGGACCCGTGAGGATTGCTATGTTACGCAGGACGAAGGTTTATCCTCTCATCATCACTCACACCTGCTGCGGTCTCCTGGGTGTGCAGGTGCATTGCGTGCACGTGGGCACACACGTCTCATAAGAACAAACAACCCTAAAGCAGTGGTAGTCAGGTGGGAGCCACTTTCCTGAAGGTTCCCTAAAGGCATCATTGTCAAGTCTTCACCCAACTTAGAATGAGGCAAGCCTCTGTATTCACGGTGCAGAGACGTTTCAGTTCCTTTCTTGTCACGCTCTTCCTAACCGGGGCCTCTGTGACCACCGGCATTGGGTGCACGAGAGCCAGGGAGAAGACTTCCACGGGAGTCACACTGCGTTTTGGGGCGGGCAGGAATGCAGGACACGCTTCCCTCTCCCTGCCTACTTCTCACACAATCGCCACCGGTTCTCCTTCCACCCCAAGGAAGTCATCAGGGATACCGAGCATTCTTCCTCTTGTTGCATTTAATTCTCATCTCGCCTTGTGAGATGTCACAACAGATTCATTGAGTACCTGCTATATGAGCCAGGCCCTGTGACAGGGACTGGGAATCCAGCAAAGAACAAGCTCGTGTGCTCTTAGTCTAATGGGGAACCAGGACTCTGCCCGGTTATGGGGTCGTGGGGCCTGAGAGGGTGATGGCAAGATCCATGCCCGAAGCTAGGGGAGGCTTATGATGGACTAAGCACAATGGAATAATTAAATGGGAAGAAAGAGCAAAAAAAAAAACCCTGATTGACGTAGGGACAGTGGCGGCCACTTACCATTTCAAATAGAGTGGATATCCCATTAGTTGATGTTTAGGGAAGATTTTCAAATTCCCTCTGGTTTTGACCGCTTGAACCCATCTCATATCATGGAGCGTCACCTTCTCTACCCTTTGCGATGACTCGATTCAGACGCCGTCGTGTCATCGCGTCATTGGCTTTTTTTGACCAGAAGGGTGAGTCCGTAGCCCTTCAGGAGCATCCTGAGAGCAGGGTGTTTTCTCAACCGCATTGAGAGACAAAACTAAAAGCTCTCCCAGAAGTCAGGGTAAACCGAAAGGGCATGTTTTTGATAACAGAGAAACTGGAGAACAGCCATGGTGGAGAAGTATGCCAGACAAATTTTGGCCAAAATTTGGCGAATTTTTGGAAGCAGCAGGGGCCAGTGGCAACTATTGGGAGAAAGAGCAGGGGCCGTGCCTTGAGTTTGGCCATATAACTTACGGGGTGCCAGCGGGCAGGTGTCTGTGTCTCGGGACTTGAGTTCCATTAGCTGTAGCGCGGAAATGATCCTAGCGCCCATTCTACTTCAACGGGACGCCGTGATTGCTACAGGATCCTTTAGTTCCACCCCGACCGCTTTCCACTTCCTCTTTTACTTCTGGAAACACCTAGCTCTGAGGAGTGGTCAAGGGCCTCCATGGACTGACCCTTCTGGTCAGAAGAGCCGATGACCCTTTTGATAAGATAGATTCAGAACTGGGTTGTTCCAGAGCTCAAAAGAACGTGGTGGTGACATTAATAGAGGTTCGAGAGATCCGGACCAAAGGGAATTTGAAAGTTTTTCGTTGCCCTTGGAGAAAATTCAGTGTGGGGCACAATTAGGGTGCTGGAACTAACTCTTTTTGAGAGAAAGGCCCTGACATTGTGAGAAGAATGGGTTGATGTTTATATAGACACTTTTAATAGAATTTAATTAATAGAATTTATTTTTTTTTTAGTTTTTATTTATTTATGATAGAGAGAGAGAGAGAGAGAGAGAGAGAGAGAGAGACGCAGAGACATAGGCAGAGGGAGAAGCAGGCTCCATGCACCGGGAGCCCGATGTGGGATTCGATCCCGGGTCTCCAGGATCGCGCCCTGGGCCAAAGGCAGGCGCCAAACTGCTGCGCCACCCAGGGATCCCTAATTAATAGAATTTAATAGAAATCCCGTAATTGAAAGGGGTTGCTCTTGTGTTCTTATCCTTCCTAAGACCTGCGCTTGATGCTTTCCTTCTCCCCGCTCTTCTCCTTTTCTGTCCTGGTTTTTCTTTTTTGTCTCTTTCTCTCATTCTTCCTCTTGGTTTCCTCTCCCCTTCCACCCCGCCTCGTCATTTCCTCCGCCTTTCTGTCTACTTGCTAACACAGACCCGGGAAGCATTCCATACGTCTGTCCATAATCGTGGGTTTAGAGTGAAAATGATAAAGTCCTAACGAACTTCGTTTGTCCATCAACTACGTCTTGAGAACCTTCCTTTTCACAACGTCTCGTGCAGGTAGGAGAGTAGAAATTCTGAATAAGGAAGCACTGATTTTGTGAGAAGGGCACACTGGTGCTCCTCGTCCCTCCTTCCTGAGTTGCTATTACATGCCCACCCCAACAGCTGAGCTCATGAGTAGCTTGGGAAACTCTCTGTGAAGGTGGGATGGGCTCCGAGCTTCAAACTCGTGTGGGCTGAGCCTGTCCCCTCTACCACTGACGCTGCCCCGTGAACTCCTCTTCCTTTCTGGCAGGAAATGGCTTCTCTCCCCCACAGGAGCACATCGCAGCCCAGGGCATCCCAATTGCAAACCAGCGGTGCTCAATGATTTATCTACGGAATTAGAGTTTTGGTTCCCTTGAGGATGAGCAGATAATGCCTTTGTGTCGTGTGCCTGCTTGTTTAATTGAACCAAGGAAGCAGCTGAGGGTTAGTTTCCCTTTGCTTCCCTTGGGCCGCTTGCCACTCGAAGACCTTCATTAGTATTACTTCTTCCTCCAGCCTCATGGGACCAGAGTCGCACAGGACAGGACTCCTATGTCCTCATGGCCAGCTCTCAGGCGGAAATGGAGGAGTGGGTTAAATTCCTTAGGAGAGTCGCTGGCACGCCCTCCGGAGGTAAGGACTCTGCGGACGTTCCTGGGCAGGTGTCTGTGACGTCTCCAAGGTGGGGAGTTAGTAGCTCCAGACACGATAGATAGCTCCCTCCTTGAACAGTGTCCAGGGGAGACCACGAGAGGACAACTCTGAAGCCACACTCATTGCCAAGCATCTAGCCTCCCCCCTACATGACCTCAAAGAGCCGAATCTAGACTAGCTGGGCCGCCCGCGGCCCTTTGCACCTATGTGATGCCCTGAAGCACCAACGTTCTGCAGCACCAGGACTCTGCCTGGTTATGGGGTCGTGGGGCCTGAGAGGGTGATGGCAAGATCCATTCCCAAAGCTAGGGGAGGCTGAGCAGCACAGGAAAGTCAAGCGGTTGGTCAAAACTGGGGTGGTCAGACTGGGGAGAGGTTCAGGAACTGTGTCCCGCTCACAGGTTCTCCGTGAATTCAGGGTGAGCACTTCTCTGGGTTCCATGGCTCGAGCGTTTGAGCTTTTTGGGTGCCCTGGTGCTGGGTCCACACTGGAGGAGAAACTGCCGTGAAAAACACACCTGCAGTTAACACGGTGTCCACAATAGCCAAAATACGGAGAGAGCCCAAGATGTCCATCGGCAGATGAATGGGTAAAGAGAGGTGGTGTATACGCGTGCCGTGGGGTATTACTCAGCCGTCAAGGAGAGTGAAATCTTGCCCTTTGCGATGACATGGATGGAACTAGACGGTATCGTGCTGAGTGGAAAAAGTCAGAGAAGGAGAAATACCATGTGATTTCACTCATATGTGGAATTTAAGAAACAAAGCAGATGAACAGGTGAATAGGGGAAGGGAAGGAAAAATAAAATAAGATGAAAACAGAGAGGGAGGCAAACCATAAGAGACGCTCAACTCTAGGAAACAAACAGGGTCGCTGGAGGGGACGGGGGAGGGGACCGGGTGACTGGGAGACTGGGAGACGGGCATGAAGGGGGGCACGTGATGGCATGAGCACCGGGTGTTACGTGCCACTGATGAGCCTCTCAATTCTACCCCTGAAACTAATACTGCACCATCTGTTAACTAAATCGAATATAAGTAAAAAATTAAACAAAACAAGAACAAACTGCAATTAACAAACAGGAGAACCCAATATGTTTTTTCCTTTCATGAGAGGCATGAAAGAACTGATATGGGAGATCTCGAGGGGCCGCTTTCCCTCAACTTTTTAGGAACATACTTTGGGTCAACTCCAGGATACCTGGATATAGTTATTTATCAACTGTTCTGCCTATTATTTTGGAAGTCTGTGTGTGTGTGTGTGTGTGTGTGTGTGTGTGTGTGTGCTGGGGAGGGTGTTTTACAGCTCAAATATTAAATATTTATTGGGTTGCTCAATGGTTTCTTTAAAAAATTATGAGCACCGTAACAATTCTGGGAAAATTTGGAAAAAAATAGAGGAAAATAATCACCCCTGAAACCACCGGGAGGAATTTTTATGTTTTCTTTCCAGGTGGTATTCATATATGTATTCCTTTTTTTTTTTTTCCAGAATGACAAGCATGGAATATATACAATTTAATACCTTTTATTTTGTAGCTGAAGGGTTTTTTTTTTCCTTTTTCATGTTGTCATATCGATTCATTTCAGGGATTCTAATATATAGAATTTAATACCTTGTATTTTGTAGCTAAAGGTTTTTTTTTTCCTTTTTCATGTTGTCGTATCGATTCATTTCAGGGATTCTAATATATACAATTTAATACCTTTTATTTTGTAGCTAAAGGGTTTTTTTTTTTTTCCTTTTTCATGTTGTCGTATCGATTCATTTCAGGGATTCTAATATATAGAATTTAATACCTTGTATTTTGTAGCTAAAGGTTTTTTTTTTCCTTTTTCATGTTGTCGTATCGATTCATTTCAGGGATTCTAATATATACAATTTAATACCTTTTATTTTGTAGCTAAAGGGTTTTTTTTTTTCTTTCTCATGTTGTCGTATTGATTCATTTTAGGGATTCTTTGGTTACAAAAAATGGAAATCAAATCACAGAGAGGGATTTACTGGGTTGGTACGGTAGCTACTGAAGGAAGCCATGGGAGAGCTGCCAAGAGGAGTCAAGGGTTTGGGGCAGAGAAGTGGACCATGGGCCCGGAGCTTATTCTGTAGGTTTCTTTGGGGCCACGTAGCTTAGCGTTCTGCTTTTCCCTGCGTGCCTGCCTGTTTTTGCGTGGTTAGCGGCCCCCGGTACTTCTTCCTGGCCCAAGACAGAGGTGCCAGCCCCAGCTTTGCTGTATTTCCGTCCCAAGCACAGCAGGGACAAGCTCAGCCTGCACCTCCGCATTCCAGCCTCCTGGGAAAGAAGCTCCACGGGCTTCGCTGGGGTCAGGAGACCACTTGTGCAGCCTCAGGCGCTGGGGCAAGGGGGCGGTCCTGCCTAGCGGGGCCTGGGAGGAAAGGAGTCACTGATGGGACACCCAAGCTGGAGAACGCCCGCCACCGCCATCCCGTTACCAAAGGAGGAGCACGGCTTCCTTACCCATCTCCCAGGTCCTAAACACTGTGCTTCCGGCTGTGCTCATCAGTCCCAGGAGAGGTTTCTCGTGGTGAAAGCTCCCTTGTATCCCATTCAGCCTGGATAGGCTTAGCTGTGACCCTCCTGATTGCCCCAAGACGGTGGGCCCCGTCCACGTTTCCTGCCTTCCCCAGCCCAGGGCTTTAGGCAGCCTGCAGCGACAAGGGTCAACGGCACCGGCCGTTGCCAGATTGTGCACTTATTCTGAGTCAAATGCTGCCCCGACGGCGACGTCTGTGTGCCTTAGATGGTGCTTGGCTCAGCGCGGCCGTGGCGAGCTGCCCTCCAGGTTCTAATCCACGCGGGGGTTTCTCCTTTACCCCGCTGCACCACCTGAGAAGCAAATCGAGCAGAGATCCTGTGGGCAGGGGAAAGTCCAGAAGAAGCCTATTTATTTATTCAAAGAACAGAATTCGTCCGTGACGTGGCATCTCAGATGTTTCAGGCCTCTCGTTGAGTCCGAACGCCCCGGCCCGGGACAGAAGGCGTTTCAAGACAGCAGAGTCCAGTGTGGGGCCGCCAGGCAAGCCACACCCTGGTTCCTCCTGCTTGTATGGGAAGCCTCTGTCCTGAGGAAGTAGCTGATGAGTGGAGGGGCCCGCGCACCGGGCCTGGGCCCACGTGGAGGGGGCCTTGGGCCTGGTCCCCCCCACCTGCAGGGCCCGCCCACCTTCAGGGCCCCCCACCTGCAGCGCATGCCCCACCTGCAGCCCCCCCCCACCTGTAGGGCCCGCCTACCTGCAGCACACACCCCCAGCTTCCTGCGGCTTCCTGGCTTCCCATGGCTCTTCCCACCGGCACCTCCCTCTCCTCACCTCCGGGACCTCCATCCTTTGTGAGGTGCCCTACCGTCTCGTCTAAACCCCAGCGATGGCCCGGAAACCCATGTGCTCTCCCCTCCCCCGACCCCCGAGGCCGTTCCTATCAGGCACGCAGCCATGTGCTCCTTCTGGAACCCTCTCTCCCCGGGTAGCTGCGGGGCTGGGTACTCGGCGCTTGGCAGGTCTTTGCTGGGACCCCCCTCCGTGAGCCTCCCGCTCAGCCGGGGAGACGCGGGGTCCCTTCCTTGGCCCACTCCCGCCCCCTTCCCCTCGCTCCTGCTTCCTTTCTCTCTCTGCCCATGTGCTGAGTATCTGGCTCGTTTGCCTGACGTTGGTCTCCCCGGGCTGGAGGGAGCCTTCCACCCGCTTCGCTTCGGGAATTCCTTCCCAGAATCTAAACGGTGCCTGAGGCCGGGGATGGGCAGGGGTGGCCTTCCCGTCCGTGGTGGCCCCGGGGTCTACACCGCAGGCTCTGCTCTTTGCTGAACGACCACCAGCTGGGAAATCACTGGGTACATGGGTGGCCGCCTCTAGAACCATCTCTCTCCCAATGTGTCGACGGTGAGCTTTGGTGAGACCCTCTATGGTTTGTAGACGTCTGAGAGAATCTGCTAAAAGCTGTGGAAACTTCCCAGAAAAATGTTCCGATAGAGCGACAGCCGGCGCCTGCGGTCCTTTTGCTGCCCGGCTACTGGACCCACACTGTGACGTAGAGCCCCTCTGGGACGAGCCACGCACCCCACCGCCCCCTTGGCTCCTCGGCCCCTAATCATTCCGCTCACCTCGTCCCATCCTGGGGCCATGTCCACTCGTCCTGGGAATCCTTGGGCTCCAGCTACGTGTCAACAACTGACCTCAGTTCTGATGCTGTCTCTAGGTAGATGCCATCGGACCCCACAGGCTGAGGGCCCAGCCCTACAAGAACTGCCCCTGCCCCTGCCCCGCAGGCCCCAGGTGCCGCTGGGATCCGTGCTTCAGGCCACCCGGCTTAGAGCAGACCCTCCTCCCGCCCCGCCTCGGGTGTGCGTCACCTGCTAGAGCGGCTCCCAGAATCCAGGAAGCATCTCGCTGGTTAGAGGGTTGGTTTGTCCTAAAAGGATAGAACTCAGGGACAGCCGAGGGAAGAGGTGCCCTGGGGCGGGGTCAGGGGCGCCCTCCCGGAGTGCCACGCTCCCAGACCTTCAGGCGGCCACCAACCCAGAAATTCTGCACCCCCCACATCCTTCTGGGGTTTACGGACGCTTTGGTGCATCCGATGGTTGATTAAATCCTTGGCTGTTAGTGGCCGACGGCATCTCCAGCCCCTCCCGCCCCCTGGAGGGCAGCGGGGCTGCACTTTCTGACCCTGTCGTCCTGGTTCCACTAGTGTCCGGGTCAGTTTTGCTTTCAGTTGGTTCCACGTGCTTTTCAAAAACTCACCTCATTAACATAACAAAAGACAACCTTTATCTCTCTCGTCACTGCGAATTCCAGGACTTTTAGGGAGTTCCCGGGAGGAAATGGGTAAAAGACCAAAAATACACTTCTTATAGTAAATCCCAATGTGCCCCCTTGGGATGCAGCACCTTGGTGCGCCCTCATGTCCCAGCCTTCTCTTTCCTAGCCAAGCCGATTTCTCTCTCCACTCCCCACCCCGCCTGCC